ACAGAACCTACCTTCATATATCTCTAGGAGCAAGCTACCGCCCACGGCTTATACTCCTTTAAACCGTTTAGTCGCATGGTTCAAGCACCAGCATAAATTTAAAAAAAAAATGCTTTTTTGCTCAAAAAAAGCCGTAGAATTCAACAAAAAAAACGAAAATTAAAACAGATCGGACACCGTTAAGGGGGAACCGCCAATCGATGTTACGGTTCGTAATTGGGGCAGGGTATAGGGAATAGACTGGCCTGGAAACCCCCCTGTTTTGAAAAAACATGACAAAACCTGGTTAGACCGCACTTGTTACGGCGGCCCGCAAGCAGGAGGGCAGCGACGTGCCCAGAACAACAACCGGTAAGACCCAGAGGAAATACGCATGAGATGAGATATATGAAGTGTCACATCGTACAATGCACTACCNAAGTTTTGAAGCGGCGGAATTGCCGGATATATATACGATTCTCCAGCACACCGCCCCGGCGCGAATAAGGCGTGTAGTGGATGAACTCACGTACTCGCACGCTGAGGGTGTGCTCCATATGTGTGACGGTCGTGCATTGCCCGCAGAAGTTTAGGAACGTGTCGGTGTCGGTGTGTCCTCACCCTCTGGAAATGAGGACATGATTTCCGCCAAATGGGGTGCTGAGGGGTGGTCAAGCCGATCGGAAAAGGTGTACACACGAGGCGCCGTGCAAAAGGCGACTGATATAGGTAGTCTGTGAACATGCAACGCCCTCCGAAGAGTTTTGGTGCGTTCGGTTGCCAAACCTTCAAAATTTCGGTTTCGGTGTACTGGCTCCAAAAAGTGTGCATTTTTCTGCACATATAGGCGTTTTTAGACAGTGCAAGTACAGTGCATTTTTTTTTTTACGCTTCCAAAAGATGGCCCTGACCCATAGCTTTCGTTCGTATGAATGTCCCAAAACCGGAGTCTGATCATAAACGACGGAGAAACAGAGTTTTCCATTTAAGCGGAATTTACAGCAGTAAATATGCCTATTAATAGGGATTTAGACTGGAAATTTCCCGGCGTGATTACCGTCGGGACAGATAAGGCAGGACACCACCTGCGTGGGGTCCAGGACGGCTCATCGCCCGCGTTTCGACCTAGTGGTGTTACAGGAGCAATAAACGATACCGAGGCGTGAAAAGCGGAGGTTTGGTGGTGCCAGCTTGATAATTTATTGCAATATATTTACAGCAGTATGTATATGTATGGCGGGCTTGCTTTTCCAGGCCACACTGCTTGTGCTTACCCGCCGCGTCGCGCGCGTTCGCATTCTTTGTCCAGACCCACATGATGGACGCATCTACAACGGATAACCGACCGTTGACGGTAGTCGAAGTCCAGAGAGGGTTGAACCGTATAGAACCGGCCGGTTGTTGGCTAAGACACGGTGGCGTCGAGAAAATGGTTGGCTGGCGACTAGGTGCAATTCAGCAATTTCTAGGATCGGTAGAGCCCAAAGAGCTTGGAAGCACGAGGCGCCAAACGAATCTGTCGAGACCTCTTCAGCTTTTGGCGTCGGTGGGGATGCACTTCAAGGAAAACTATGTTGCCGTAACTGGGGGCGAAGGGGGCGTTTGCCCCCCATGGGGTGGCTCCAAGCACGCCGACATAGGGGAGCCTCGCGAGCGGGGAGAACCTCGACCCGACAACTTCCAGAAATCCACTAGGGATGACCGACCTGCCTCCCCCGAAAGCGAGAGAGGGGAGTTCAGCGCAGATGGAATGATAGAGGGCGAGCTCGGTGTCCCGCGTAAGTCATCTAGTGTTG